ATGGTTTTCAGTAGTTTTAGGGGCTCTAGAGTTCTGAGGAAAGACTGACCCTCAGGGATACTTTTTAAGATGGAAAGTAAATGTCTTTGAATGGCCAACATCTGTTTGTGGCTCTGAAAACCAAGAGCAGAAAACATTTGTGTTTACAGAGTCACAGGAAAAATTAATAAGAAAATCAACAACTTACTGAAGCAACAAGCAAGAAATGGAATTCTTGGAGGTAAGGAGGAAGATAACTTCCTTCCTGTGCAAAGGAAATCTAATATGTAATAAGTAGAATATATAGCAGATCATTACTGACCTGAGCTCCTACTTTGTACTGAGGACTTTGTAATTTTTTTTTGTGGTACCGGAATTTGCCAGGCAGGTACTGTACCACCTGATCCACACCGCCAGCCCCTTTTCAAGTAAGTTTTTAGACAGGGCCTACCATTTTTGCCAGGGGCCAGTCTCAGACAATAATCCTCCTACCTGCACCTCTCTTACTGGTTGAGATGAGGTTTTGTTAACTTTTTGCCTGTGTTGGCCTTAAACCATGATCCTCCCAATCTCTACCTCTGGAGTAGCTAGGATTACAGACATGAGCTATTGCACTTGGCCTAGAAATTTGTACTTTTAAAAATTGCATTCTCAAACTGAGAAGAAATATATGGAAACAATTCCATTCACAATAGCCTCAAAAAAAAAATCAAATAGCTAGGAGTAAATTTAACAATGGATGTGAATGACCTCTATAAGGAGAATTACAAACTCCTGAAGAAAGAGATCGAGGAAGACTACAGAAGATGGAAAGATCTCCTGTGCTCATGGATTGGTAGAATCAACATAGTAAAAATGGCTATCCTACCGAAAGCAATCTACATGTTTAATGCAATTCCCATCAAAATCCCAATGACTTTCATCACAGAGATTGAAAAATCTACCCTAAAGTTCATTTGGAAACACAAGAGACCACGAATAACTAAGGCAATACTCAGCAAAAAGAGCAATGCTGGAGGTATCACAACACCTGACTTCAAACTATATTACAAAGCAATAGCAATAAAAACAGCATGGCACTGGCACAAAAACAGACAAGAAGACCAGTGGAACAGAATAGAGGACCCAGATATGAATCCACACAACTATACCCACCTCAATTTTGACAAAAGTGCCAAAAATATACAATGGAGAAAAGACAGCTTCTTCAATAAATGTTGCTGGGAAAAGTGGTTATTGTCTGTAAGAAACTGAAATTAGATCCATTTCTATCACCCTGAACTAGTATCAACTCAAAATGGATCAAGGACCAAAATATCAGACCTGAAACTCTGAAGTTACTACAGGAAGGAACAGGAAACACTCTGGAACTAATAGGTATAAGCAAAGACTTCCTCAATAGAACCCCAGCAGTCCAGCAACTAACAGAAAGGATGGACAAATGGGACTTCAGAAAATTAAAAAGCTTCTGCACAACAAAAGAAATGGTCTCTAAACTGAAGAGACCACCCACAGAGTGGGAGAAAATATTTGCCAGCTACACATCAGACAAGGGACTGATAAACAGAATATACAGGGAACTTAAGAAACTAAACTCTCCTAATATCAATGAACCAATTAAGAAATGGGCAACTGAACTAAACAGAACTTTCTCAAAAGAAATTCAAATGGCCAAAAAACACATGAAAAAATGCTCACCATCTCTAGCCATAAAGAAAATGCAAATCAAAACCACACTAAGATTCCACCTCATCCCTGTTAGAATAGCCATCATTAGCAACACCACAACCAACAGGTGTTGGCGAGGTTGTGGGGAAAAAGGAACCCTGGTACACTCCTGGTGGGAATGCAAGCTGATATAACCAACCACTCTGGAAAAAAATTTGGAGACTTCTTAAAAATCTGAACATAGACCTGCCATATGATCCAGCAATCCCACTCCTGGGGATATAGCCAAAGGAATGCAACACAGGTTACTCCAGAGGCACCTGCACACCCATGATTATTGCAGCACTATTCACAATAGCCAAGTTATAGAAACAGCCAAGATGCGCCACTACTGATGAATGGATTAAGAAAATGTGGTATCTATACACAATGGAATTTTACTCAGCCATGAAGAAGAATGAAATCTTATCATTTGCAGGTAAATGGATGGAAGTGGAAAACATCAACCTGAGTGAAGTCAGCCAAGCTCAGAAGACCAAAAATCGTATGTTCTCCCTCATATGTGGACTTTAGATCTAGGGCAAATGCAGCAATGTGGTTGGACTTGGATCACATGACAAGGGGAAGCACATAGGGGAGATATAGGAATAGGAACAAAACCTAAAACATGAAGTGTTTCATGTCCCCACTCCAGAGGAACTAATACAGAAACCTTAAAGCGACAAAGGTTATCATGAGAAGGGGATCAGGAACCAGTGTAAAGATCAGTTAGAGATTAATCAACATGGGTCGTAACACACGTGTACACGAAAGCAATGCTTGGAATATTTCTGTATAGCTGTCCTTAACTCAACTAGCAAAAATGCCTTGTCTTCCTTATTATGCTTATGTCTTTTCTTCAACAAAATTAGTAATAAGGGCAGAACAGGTTCTGCCTGGCAGTGAGGGGGGAGGGGGTAGAGGAAGGAGGAAGGAGGCAGGGGGGAGAGATGACTCAAACAATGTATGCACATGTGAATAAGTGAATAATTTAAAAAAATAAAATAAAATTGCATTCTCAAGGAAAGATACATTAAAATGTTTTCTTATGAAGAAACAATAAACATCTTATCAAGTAATTGTTTTTTATATAAATATACATTGTATTTCTATTTTTTAAAAGACCCATAAGGTTGAGAATGCTATGCCACACTCCCACTTCTTTCTGATAGTTATACCTAAACACTGTAATGCAACTAAATACACATTTGTGGAGAGTGTCTTATCCAAAATTACTTTAATAAACACAAAGGAGGTACACCAAGATCAACTGATCACTAATGTCAAAGAATTTTTATAGAATAAAGAAGACGGGACCTCTTTACATGTAACTGTATCACCATGGAGAAGACCTGACTTCTAAGATAATCTTAAACCAAGAGAAAAGCCTGCACACAGAATCTGCTATTCATTTAGGCTTGGGACAGTGGCTGTGAGATCTGAGAAGCAGAGGAATCACTGAGAGGCTGTTATGGTGTAAACTCTTGTGCCCACCGGAGTTTTCAGCAACTTTGCATATGGCATAGATGCTTCTGGTCTGGGGCTCATCCTTTGAGAACTTCAGATCAAGGCACTGGTTTCCAATTCTGGTTGCACATTAGAATTTCCCAGGGAGAGTCTAAAAAAATCTAGTATACAAGTTCAGTTTAGCTCCAAGGTAAAAGAAAGATATTTGATGAAGGAAACTACCGGCACAGAGCACTGAATCTAAGAGCTGATTATTCAGTAGTTGGAGACAGATGCTAATGAAGGTTGAGGAGTCATGCAGAGCCAAATACTGGCACGATTAGGAATGAGAGCACGGCTGATAGTTCGGAAGAAAAGAGAAATCTAGGGTCAAGTCAGGAAAGATCTTCACTAGCATGCTAAGGAGCACTGGAGTCCTTTTGGGGACAACAGGAAACTATCAAAGTCCTTTGAGCAGAAGGATGACAAGATCTGCATAGTTTATACAACATTGGTGCTTGGAGACAAGGAGACTGACGAAGACATTACAGAAATGATCTATTTCCTCAAACTGGAGCCTAGAGATGTGTACTCGGACTGTGTGTTTTGGACGAATGCTTTAGTTTTGAATCTCTAATTAAAAGATAACCTAGAAGTATACTTAATCAGTTATGAAGGAAAGCTTCCCCTCTGTGACAACAGTTGTCAACTGGAAGATTTTCACAAGGATGAACTAAAGCGTCCTAAGGTTTAGTTTCTTAGACTCAGGACGTACTTTTTAAGAATTTAGGATTGACTTTTTTCCTTCCTGTGAAGAGTTATTAGCCTTTGAGAAATAGTGATCTAAATGAGATAATAAAATTAGGGCAGTCTGAGAATCGCTGGGCTCTTGAACTACATTTCAAGAGGAAGAGAAAATGTGTAATCACAAAAGATCTCAGGCATTTGAGACAGAGCTTCAGATGATGACAGAATGATGAGTGAAGCAGAGAACGTAGAAGGGATGGGTTTACGAGACAGGAATAAGGAGGCAAAGAACTCCACATGGAAGAAAGCCTACTTACCCACTGAGCTGAACTGGCCAGAAGCAACACCACCACCTCAGAAAGTATCTTCATACTTTCGTCATATTGTGTACAAAATTTTTTAAATTTCATAGTAGTTTTTTTGAGTTATGAAGACTCAATATAGAACAAAAATATTTTTCTTTGAAAAATAAAAAACTTAACCTGTCAAGTAATTTAAAAAAGTGATTTACCAACAGTTTAGTTTATAATACAAGGGGAAGATACATATGCTAGTGAGAGTTGAAATTCAAAAGTTTGGGATTATAGTACATTTCCCCTCCATTGAGTGTGGTTACCTTTCTCTGTCATTTATCAGCATCAGCAACTATTTTAAGGGGGAAAATACTAAAATGCAAGCATTAATGTATGTATTTGAAAGCAGATATATTCCAGGACCCAGCATAGACCTGTCTTATCTTCTATGGGGATCACATGCCCTTCACTATGGGTGGGTGCCAGCAGTTTAATGGTACATGAAGGGATCTGCTGGGCCTCCCTGGCCACACCACTATGTGTCAGTGATACATTTCCCCGGAAATAGTCCACTACGGATTCCACTTCATCTCATTGTCTTCTTCAGAAATTAAAATATTAGCAGAAAATATTTCAAAACACTTTCTCTTAACTATTTTTATTTGGAACAAACACAGTCATTGGAATATCAGAAACAGTATATGAGGACTTTATAGCAAAAGAAATATAATAATCTAATGTAATGAAGATGTCACAAATCCTATTCATGTGTTCAAAACATGGACTGATTCAAAAGACAACACAAAGCAAAACTGGACTGATACATACCTGAGCTTCTGGTTGTACTGTTTGACCTTTTCCAAGGAGGCTGCATTTATCTGGGCTTGAAAATCTTCCACTGAAACATTGTCTCTATAATAATATCCTTCCATGCTTTCCAGTGCTGTCAAACAAGTTAATGTACTTTACATTAATTTTATACATTGATTTCTGCACATCTAGTCTGATTTTATTGACTATTAGCACAGAGGTATCAAATAGCACCAGTTACAAACATGTGTGTAAGAAGTGACTCAAAAATGAATGAAAACTGTTCTTGTGCTCTCAAAATAAGTATCAAACATTTGGTGATTCTTCTGTTAAGTGAGTGAAGGAAATATGTAGTTACTGTCTTCTATTTTAAAGTGTTTTGTATGCACTCCAAATATGCTTCTTTGGCATAAGGATTATTTTAAGCTGATTATTTTGAGAAACTGCAGACACAGGAGAAGCTCTAAAAACAAAGTATAAGTTAGTCTTTTGTAAGGGAAATTTCATCTACAAAGGAAATCTGTGTTTATAGGGTGTCAGTTCCTCTGTGTCTGGAAGAAAAGGTCGACTAAATCACAAGAGTCTCTGATCAATGGAGAAGGCACTGACTTTAACCTGTGTAACAAACCTTGCCTTTGTTTTAAATTTTAATTTATTCATTAATTTACTATTATTATTTTGGTGGTACTGGGGTTTGAACTCAGGGCTTTATACTCACTAGACAAGAGCTCTACTGTCTGAGCCATGCCACCAGTCCTTTTTGCTTTAGTTATTTTTCAGATAAGAGCTCTTATTTTTGCCTGGGCCAGCCTCAGCCTGATTTTCCTTCCTATGCCTCCTGTGTATCTAGGACCACACACGTGCACTACTACACCTGGCTTATTTGTTGAGATGGGATCACATTAACTTTTTTCTTGGGGCTGGCCTGGAACTGAGATCTTCCTGCTCTTCACGTCCAGAGTAGCTGGGATTATAGCTATGTACTACCATGTGGGTTTATCCTTATTTATCTTGTGCTTTTCTCTGTCCTCTCATGGTAACTAGATCTGCCCCTATTCTTTGTTTAATGTACAACAGCCCTCCTTACATGCAGGGGATATCTTCTAAGACCCCCAGTGAATGACTGAAGCCAATATTACCAAATGAAACCTGCATATATGTTTTTTCCCACACTTGCATGCACAAATTTAATGCTTTTTCCATCTCAGCTAAGTATTTATCAGACACCATGGCAGTTACTTTTGAAGTCTGAGGTATGATAGTAAGGGTAGTATTAACTTCTTTTTCTTTCCTCACAATTTCATGGGCAGATGATTTGGTCTCAAGAAATCTTATTCAGTTAAAAACAGTCACCTTTTCAGTGAAAGGAAGCACTTCATGGCTTCCTGACTCAGTCCAATTGCCAGCATCAGGATGACCATACTTTGGAGCCATTTTTAAGTAAAATAAGGATTACTTGATCACTGGAGTGAGTTTTCTCTCGCTCCCTTGTTACTACTGAACCTAACTGGGGCTAACTGAGCAGCGACGGGAGATGCAGAAAGGACACAGGATAGACAGACAGAAAGTTGGGGCCAGGTGTGTTGGGCACTCGGATGGAGATGCACAGCAGCCTCATTGCTTCTTTTCTTTATTATTCTCTTCATTTACTCCACTTCTTTTCTCTACCTTTATTCTTTAAGGCCTTACTCCTTCACAGTTTTTTAAAACCTTGCTTCTAAAGTCTTTCAAACCTTGCTTCACTATTCTTTAAACCTCTTTCCTTAGACTCACTCTGTCTCATGTTTTCTCTTAGCTTTTCTTTAGCATAATCTCTCTTAAAGTCTTTGCCCTCAGACTTGCACTGTCCTATGTTCTCTATAGCTTTCTTAAAATCTTGGCCCTCACACTTACTAGCAATTCCCCTTTAGCAATTCTCCTTCTGTAATTCTTTTCCCTCCAGCAATCTCCCTCCAGCACTTTTCCTTCAGAAGTTCATTTTCCCCCCTCAGCAATCTTTTCCCTTCCAAAAAGCCTCCCACATCCAAAAGTCTTCCCCATCAAAAAGTCAAAAGCCAAACCCTCACATCCTCCTGCAGGGAGTCTTTTAAACCCAGTGGTAAACAAGGAGATGGAGCAGCAGTTCTTGGGAAGGGGCGTGACAATGTAACAAGAGAAACCTGTGTTCCTACTTTCCTGAAAGTAAACAATTTAGGAAAAGCAGCTGTTCTGCATCTTACTCCCCACCCTGTTCTGTGGCTGGGGCTGAGCCAAACTCAGCCTACAGAACATTGAGTACAACTGTGCTTATGTTCTCACAAGCTTCTCATAATCTTCTCCCTGCAGATCAGAAGCACAGAGATATCACAAAAGTCAATGATCCAATAACCAAGATCAACTGACCAGTGAGCGGGAGTGTATACAGCATGGATACACTGGACAAAGGAATGATTTGTGTCCTGGGTGGGATAAGCATGTCACCTACTCAGAGGGTATGCAATTTAAAACTTACGAAATGTTCACTTGCGGAATTTTCCATTTAGAAGTGCGAGGGTATAGTTAACTGCAGATAACTGAAGCCATAGAAAGTGAACCCACAGGTAAGGAGGCAGGAGTGGCTACTGTATTAAGCCTAAGTTCAAAGTTGAAGCCAGGCACAAGTCACTAGCCCACAAAACTCCATCTTGTCTCTGCCTAGCTGTATTTTGTCTTTGTAACTTTTTTCATCCTGAGTTACTCTCTTCTGCAGGTACCTTGGACTCTAGGAATGACAAGACTGATTGATGAACATCCTTATAGCCAGGGACCTAAATTACTCCCAAACATCAGTGAGCCCCATAGGACAGATCATTCTCAACTGAGATCACCCTCAAATGGGGAAATAAACCAAGATGGTGAATCTGCACCCTGAACAGGAATAAACTTCTCATGGAAACCAGATTGGTCCCATGAAATGACAGCAATAACAACTTCTCCCTGTAGAATCAGAACTGAGATAGATTATGTGCTCTGACAAGTGTATATACCGCAACCATATCCTTTGTTCCTTCTCTATAAAATCTCAAATTTCCTGTCAGCCCCTTGAAGACAGAATTTGGGTCACTGAATCTGTTCTTACCAACATGGTCACATTGATTAAAGTTCTTAAAGTGCCCTTCACTACAGCCAATCTCTGTGATTGCCATAATGGGTCAGCTGGTTGAGCCTAGTCTGTTTGGACCCCTGGAGCCAGGGTTTTTGTCCTAAAACTCCAGTGATAAAGTCACCTTCTTGAGATTTACTCCCTTTTTTCTTGAGTCCCTCCCATGCATGCATGAGGTATAAGGGTTATTAAACTTGTGTTTGTTTTTCTCTTATTAATTTGTCTTTTGTTCAGGGGTCTGTTGCAACTAAAAACTATAAAGAGTAGAAAAGGAATTATTTCCCTTTCCTATGATGTTCTTTGCAAAGTTAAACTTAAGCTTCACAAATACATATATGTGTGTGTGTGTGTGTTCATACACATATATGTATTATGTACACATGGACCACATGGGCACACATAGGCCTATATGCTACATATTGCACACACATATGCATACATATTCAGAACATATATGAGGGAGGCAGAATTGCACATTGACATACATCTGAGTAAAAAAAGAAAGGAGCTGGACATCGTGGGGCATACCTGTATCCCAGGACCCTGGAGGCAGAGGGAGGAATATTAAAAGTTCCATTCCAGCCTGGGCTATGCAGCAAGTTCAAGGCCAGCCTAAGTTACATGGTCAGACCTTGACTCAAAAAGCCAAAGGCTAGGGGTTTAGCTCGGGGTAGAGCACTTGCCTAACATACATAACTTTATGAGGCAGTACTTTAAAGGTTTTGGAGGTGGAGATATGAGTCACATAACAGAGCCCAGAAATACAAAATTCCATGGAAGCTGTGCTAACACCAGGAATGCTGACGGAGCTCAAAGGAAACATTAATTGTTTTCACTTCAAATAGATAACCTGAGTTTTCAACAGACTGCTTCAAAATCAATAAAAATTATTCTTCTTTCAAAACTGCTAAGCACAATAGTTTCTAAACTACATAGTGAGGTTTCCACAAATTAAAGGAAACTATCATTACCATTTATTCAAAACAAAGAAGTCACCACAAAGTTTTACTATGCTGTATTTCCTAAACTTCTTGAATTCTAGTGTACTGTAAAAAATTAAACTTTTAAAGCTTATTACTTAATTGAAAAATTTTAAAAATGGTATTATATGTTTGCAATCAAGAAAATAACTTTGGAAAGTTAGAAAATGCATGCTACTTTTACTTCAGTACAGGAATCAAGTCCATGGGCTTGCTCTAAGTGCTTTGTGTCTGTTTCTTCCTTATGGCTCTGGCACTAGTGAGAATAGCTGCAAATGGCTCAGCAAATCCTGGTCCCAAGCACTGACAGGAAGTAAAGGAAAGTCCCCTGGTGAAACATCCTGAAACACACGCCAGGCTCATCTCTGTTAACTGATGTTTATTGTTTTCCTGTTGGCAAGATGGTACCCCAGGAGGACGCAGTCTGTCAATACTCACACTTCAATGTGAGTTATGCTTCCTTGTTGGAAAGCTAACTGTGAGAGCCTTGGAATTAAAAGTGAGACCCCAGTTTCTGCTCCTTAGAAAGTGTGCAACTTAGGCAAGTTAATTAATGTCTGAGATCCTCAGGTTTCCCAGTTTTCACACGGAATACAAGTACCTCATGATGGTTTGATCAAATAATAGTAATAAGAAAGCCCAAGAATATTGTTATTTACTGAGGGAGATTTATGTTCTAAACAATTTCCTAACTATTGCACAGGGATAATTGATTCAATTTCCATGAGATACAGGTTATGCTTGAGTGTGCTTAGTGAAACAGAAAGTTTGAGAACCTAACAAAGGAATCATAAAAGGACACTCAGTTTGTGACTGGAAGAACACTGGGAAGGAGTAGGACCGGATCTGTAGTCTGTCAGATCTAGGATCTAGACCCTTGTTTATGAGGGTCTTGCTGGTTGAACTCTGGCCAGAATAGTCAGTCCTGCTCTAAAAGCTGTTATGATATAAGAACAATTATATAAACTTAATTGAATATGATTGTAGTGAATCCTCTTATATACCCATGAGCTGCCATTTGTATTACATCTT